TTCTCCTATAAATAACATTTCTTTGCTCTTATGTTGAAACAGATTTCTAAGTAAATAACTTATTCTTGAATATCTCATTTTAGATGTGATTTATTTTTACTACATCTATTAAGTGACTGTCATCATAGTTTTGTTTAATTTGTTTCAAGTACAAATTGAAATTAGCATATTTATTTTTCTTTACTAAGAAAAAAGAAAGTCTTTGTTGTGCCTGCAAATTAAATTACATGTCTTTATTTTCTATACGGAATTAAACCTATTACATTCCTCAGTGCAAAAAAAAAAAAGATAGTTGGTGTGGTAGAACTAAACTTTGCAGACTTTGCTGTGTTTTGGAGAGCAAATTATTTCAGTATGAAAAACCTCAATAAAAATAGGTGGATACTCCCTATTTTTAAACTAAGCAGCAATATAGTTCTGTTTGATAAGTAATTGATTAGGTCAGACTATTAAGCCATTTAATCTGGCATGTACATTGTGAGTGATAAAAGGAATCCAACTGTGAATTTGAGTGTATTAAATAATCTTCAGGAAGTTCCACAAAGAACATTTGAATGCCTTGAAACTTTCGATAATGCATGTTTGTTCCAAACACATTTGCTTTGCTTAGGGTTTTGCCCATCAGGTTGAAGAAATGCTAATCTTGTCACATTCAGCAGCTGGGTTTTTTCAATATTCTTTTCCTTCTCCTAGGGGTTAATTAGCCTTCTTTCAAAATGTGGCCTATTTAGCTGTAGATTCACATGATTCAGCCAGAGCTAGCTGTACAAAGCAGAACCGTTAACAGGCGGGTGTGTCCAACTGCTTAATTAGCCAGAATAAAAAGGTCCTTTGTCAAACAAGCATCTGTTGCTCTTGACACACCTGACAGCCACATTAGGCAAGGATGACTAGACTGAGATTGTACATGTCTCTCCTGCAAGAATATATAACTCATTTACATATGGGCTACATCATGGACAAACTACAGGGGTTTATTTAGCTTATCAAAATGGATTAATGTGACTGCATTTGTGGCTGATAAACAAATATCACTTGAAAGGAAGCTGTAAAGGAACTAAACTAACCAAATTACTCCCAAACACAAACAAAGCACCAGAAACCCCTGGTAGATGAATGGTTACGCCTCACCAAACCTTTATAGTGAGTCTAAAACAAAACCTCCAAGTAAAGTATGTTAAGATGCTACCCTCATGTGATGATCTTTGCTCTGCAGAAATGAGCTACCAGAATGTGTAGCTCTGAATGTGTCAGTAGATTTCAATGATTTGTTGAGTAAAATTTGGCTGGAGGGTTATATTCCTCAAACATGCTTTAACATTCTAATTGATCTTCAGTTAAATCAGGTCTCCAGAATTAATCAGTTAGAATGCCCCTGGAAAAATTCTTAGTTGGGTTTTGTCATGGCCTCAATAGAAAGAGAGAGGATATTTCCTAATTTAAATGTCAGAGATGAAAGAGATGTCTGTCCTTTGTTATTGGAAGTATAGATCAAATACAATTGATTGTAAGTCCCAAAGACTTTGCTGTTCAGACCAATAGTGTCTAGCTTTTCATTTGGAACCCCTGTCATCATGATATTGCAAAATGAATATATGTAGTGGTGACATGGTAGACTTTGGAGTTCTACAAACCTAGGTTTGACTTCAGGCGCTTCCTGTACTAAGCTTTGTGTGTGGCTTTTAGCAAGATATTTAGTCTATTTGTGCCTCAGTTTCCTCATTTGTTAAGTGGAAATAATAACACTCCCACTGCCCTGGCTGGTGTGGCTCAGTGGATTGAGGACTGGCCCACGAACCAAACTTTTTGTCGGGGCACATGCCTGGGTTGCAGGCCATGTCCCTAGTGTGGGGTGTGCAAGAGGCAACCACACATTGATGTTTCTCACCTTCTCCTCCTCCCTCTATTCCTCTCTCTAAAAGTAAATAAAATCTTTTAAAAATATAACACTTCCAAAATGGGGGTCTTCTGAGGATTAAATAATATGTACTGCCAGCACTTAACACATTGTGTGCTACCTGGGAAAGACTTGTTAAGTGAGAGAATTAATTATGGTGATGACTTTTTTGAGACAGTCTCTGGAAGGGATGTGGTTGAGACTCTCCTTGGCAAAAAGAGCCTCTTATCATTGAGGACAACAATGAAATAAGAGGAGAATGAAGTTGTGTCTACTGAGTAAAAAGGGACACAGGTCTAAGTGACTTAAGTTCTTATCAATTGTCATGACTCTATAATTAAGGAGCCAAGGGAATTAGATGATGAAGAGTAACCTGAGAGTAAACAGAAAATGTTCTGGGACAATTACTTGGTTGTCCTGGATTGGTCTTTATGTGCCAGTTTGTTTGGTAAATTATGGGTCATAGATCATAAACAGCTCTGTAGACTGGTATGCAATACAATGTACAGATACATATGTGAGCCTAGATAAAGCTCCCAGCCAGCATTTGGATAAATAGGAGGAAGTTTGAGTGTGAGTTACTTTACTGCAAGAAACTCATCTACCCCTGATTAAGTAGTTTAATGAAGAAGCCATAATTGACAACCTCAGTCTTCCTCACTGGTATACTATGCTGATGAAGGCCACCACCTATCTTACATTTGGGAAGAGGGGCTAAGAAAGCCTCACTGAAGATAATATCTAACATCTCGTTCATTCCTCATTCCCTATAAAAAGGCATCACCTTACTCTCACTAATAGCTGCTCAGCTGTAGCAGAAATGGCATCAATAGTCTATGGTATGTAATGAATCAAAGGATGCTGGCTTTTGCTTTTTTGAGAGGGGGTATTCTTTTCCTCTCTGTGATGGAATAAAGAAAAAGAAGAAGTACGGATAGGGTTCCTAATATGTGTATCCCTTCCCCAATTTTTGAGAACCATGGTCTTTCCGTAATCTTAATTAGGCAAGAGTTTTATTTAATAAATACTGTCATTCTCAAACGTTTTTGGGCATTTTGTGATCTTAACACTCTACAGAGTGGTATGTGTTTACGTGCATTTGCATGGAGAGCAATGCTATGGCTTTTTAAAAATATATATTTATTATTTTTTTTAGAGAGCAGGGAAGGGAGGGAGAAAGAGGGGGAGAGAAACATCAATGTGTGGTTGCCTCTTATGTGGCCCCCACTGGAGAGCTGGCCTGCAACCCAGGCATGTGCCCTGACTGGGAATCAAACCAGTAACCCTTTCGGTTGCAGCCCATGCTCAGTCCACTGAGCTACACCAGCCAGTTGTTTTCGTTTTTTAAATGAGCCACCATTTGAGATTTTTCAAGTAAAAATTTGAAATTTTAGCTTCTTTCAGAAAATTGGAAGAACTGGCAGCTATGGCTTAGCCTACAATTTTTGTAGGAAATTGTGAATTTCCTACAAATTCACAATTTTTTGCAGCTGAACACTAGCTGACCCAGATAAATGGGGTGGTAGCCATAGTCCCCATTACATTCCTTTTGTTGAAAACCCCTGGGCCCATCTTCACTCTTGTACCTGAGGTTTCTCCTCTATAAAAGGAGTTTCTAATCATACCAGCAATATTGGATTGCTGTATAGGCTAATTCATTTATGAATTGACATGTAAAACATTTAGAAGGGTCTTTAGCATATGTTAAACACTCTGTCAATGTTAGCTGTTACCACTATATCTTTTGTATTTGCTAAGATTTATTGTGCTGCTTTAGGGTTGTGACTAACAAAAGAATAGGAATAATCACCTAAAGTGATGCCAGTGTCAAGGCCTAGAAAGAAAAATAAGCACAGATGCAAAGTGAAGAGGCCTAATCCCATGTCTACTGCTTTCACCTTGAGTGAGTCCCTTAACCACTTTGGGCTTTAGTAGCCTTATTTATAAAATAGAAGAGTAGATTAGATGTCTTCAGAGGTCCATTTGTAAAATTGATTGAGATGATAGAAAAGGTTTGGGTAACAAAAGATTCTAAGAGGGGTTAATTTTCTACTTGAAAGAACTGAATATGCTTTCATAATTTTCATAGGGAAAATTAATGTTTACAATATTATCCACAGATTTAAACCATAGTGCAGTACTTTTCTTAGGCTCCAATTAAATATCGTTTATCCCCAGGAAAGAAAATGAGAATTCTTGTCCCTGCCCATGAGTAAAAAATTAATGTTTGTTCTATTGATTATATAAGTAGCACAGGGAATGTCAAGGCCAGGAGGTCTGAGAAACCACACTTTAGTTAGAGTACATGCTGCAAAATTTGATCCTGTGTTAGTAGGTTGGCACATGAGAACTGAAAATGGTACCATTTTGAATTGTGAATGACGAGAAAATATTTCATGTCTTTGTTCACAAATCTCATTTGTATAATAGTGGTCTTTACCCATCTTTCAAAGTATTACACATTATTGATATTAGCTATTTTTGTGTAAGAGTATAATTCAACTTTGATTTTAGTACCATATCATATCACAGAAAATTAGTGTACTTGATCCTTTGGCTAAGTTTAGGGTATATCAATTCTTTTTTGGATATATATACTAATCTTTTTAGATCAGTGAGTAGCAAGTTTGAAAGTTGGGAAGACCTTAGCAATAGTTTTCCCTAAATTGTACACCTCTGGTGACATCCTAATAGTCTATGATAGGGTCTAGAATGTATAGTTTATTACATACTTGTATACAGTTAAAGTTTGTGTTCTGAGAATTGAATAGCTTGACATAATTTTGGGCTATAGTTTATAAATTAGTTGAAACAATTTATAACAGATAAGACCTAACTAAGGAAGGTAGATTTCAATGAATTTCATCCTTTATAACCGAAGGATAATGAGGTGCTAATAGGATTTAAAAATCTGGATTAGTAATTTTCTATATTTAAAAAGTGATGAAAATAACTATAAATATGCATGGAACATAATGACAATATGTTGGAGTACAAGTATTCCAAGAGTTGAAAGTGTCAGTTACAGGATATCGAGAACAAATGTAATGCCACTAGTCATGCAAAGGGAGCATTTTGAACTTTTTCTGTTTTAATATTTCAGAGACCATCATGCAGACATCAGAGACTGGGTCTGACACAGGTTCGACAGTGACCTTACAGACATCTGTGGCTAGTCAAGCAGCAGTGCCTACACAGGTGGTACAGCAAGTACCAGTACAACAACAGGTAAGGAGCTGCTGTTCTCAGAGAAGACGCCATGCCTCTCATTGTGCAGACACGACTGTGTTCAGCTGTGATTTGGATTATGTTTCTGGCACAATGGGTGCTAAGATAGGCCTAGTTCACTCTGTAGGTTAATTCAGCAAATGTTTCTTGAGCATTTCTAATTCTCAGTTCTTTTTGTGCTGGACTGTAGGGAATACAAAGGTAAATATTCAAACCATGATTCCTATTCTAAAAGAGCCTGTTAACTCTTAAAGAGAACATTTGTTTTCGACTAGACCACCCTAAGGTTTTAGCTTCCTCTTCACCTTTCTCTATTCTTTATCTTAACTTCTTATTTTTTTCATATTGAAATGTCAGCAGTAATATTTTTATATAATTGCCTCACAGTACTTCTTAATAAAGGAGAAACTGACTGTAACTTATTGGGCAGAGATTTTGCCTTTGTGATATTTTAGAAAGTGCCTGACTGATAAATACTGTTTAATGAAAATTAAATGATCTTACAGGTCTAGAAATCTGATTTATTTCATTCCAAAAATTGAGAATGAATTCCTCATCACATGTTTACTACAGGGTTTATTCATATTCACCACTTGGCTTTGGGGGGGAGATACTGACAAAATAATGCTATTCATGCCAGCTGATAGTTCTGCATGTGGGTTGTGAACACATTGGTCTGTCATTTCTTCTAAAGAGTGGTGAGAAAATAAGTGAAAAATATCATGTAATGAAGTATTTTGAAATTTGAGATTTGCCTGTAATTTCTTAGTATCAAGAAGAATCTTTAGCAAATGCTGCTCTTACAATTATAAATAGGCTGTCAGGGAGAGGAATATCTTTTCCTAACTGATCGGCAGAGGGATTCAAGGTTTTATTCTTTCCCGGAGATAGAGGTGGGCTTGGCAGGGGAAGTGCTAAGAATCATGAAGGGTCTTTGAGTCTCAGGGTAAATAGACATCTGAAGTCTTTTTTTTTTTTTTTTAAATTGTAGCACATACTTTTTTCTGGTGTCTACTCCCCGCCACACACACCCAGACACACAAAACACTTACACGTTTGTATACTGGCAGGTTATTAGGTGGAACTGTATGTAGTTGTGTCACAGTTGGGCACAGGTAACCAGGTGATTGGGGCAAAGAATTGAACCAAACACCCAGAGTTTATAGCAGAGAACATGGGAGCAGGCCAGCTCCAAGCAGAGATTGACCTCATGGGCTGGCGGGACTCTATTCATATGGGGCAGATCCTTCCTGGCTAGTTTTGGCAGGCTTTTACTGCGCATGTACAAGTAGTTGTATTACTTTAAAGCTACCGCACAAGTGGTCTCCAATGATTTTCCCTGCTTGGCCGCCAGAGAAGGGGGTCCCACAATGTTACCTCGTTGACCCCTCCTTCACCTGGGGTCCCGCTGTACTACATTTGCCTTTCCCTTCACCAGAAAATTATACCTCTCCATGTTAGAGATTGGTGCGTAGGAAAGGAATTATTTATTCAAGTTATATAGACTTAAGAGTAATGATTTAATGTCTTCATCAAAATCCCAAAGTCCCTTAAAACACCCGCAAACACACACACAGTCCTTCCCCACTTTCCCTGGTCTGGGGTACCATATCTCAGGAAGAGAAACAGAAGTCTGCGGTGCGGGCAGCCCCTGGTTTCTCCCGGTAATCAGTGCTCAGCTGGTAGGCCTCCCTTGGTTCCCAGCACCATGGCTGTGTCGCCAGGATCTCCAGTTCTTATTCCAAAATCACATGGCACCTTCTCCTGGCCCACCAGCAAGAATCCTTTTGTTACTGAACAGAGTTCCGGGGGGGGGGGGCAATAATTGGCCCACCGAGGGATGCCAAAAACTGCTACAGAAAACAGGGGCCCCTCCCAAGGACGGTATACTAATACCTACTGGGCTCGTCTGTCTGCTGGCAGAGGAAAGACATCTCTCAATGCCATAGATTTGTGAAAAGGAAAGGAAAGGTTTATTTAAAGCTGTACAGACTTAAAGTGGTCACCCAATGTCCCCATTAAAATATCAAAGTCCTTTAGGATAACCACAGACGCCCACAGCGCTTCCTTCCCCCCTGCCCTAATTCGGGGTACCATATCTCAGGAAAAGAAGCACATGTCCGTGTTTCTAGGCCACTGGCACTGTCAGCTGTGTCGCCATCCAGGCAGGATCTCCAATTAATCCAAAGTCACGTGGCACCATCTCACGGTCCACTGGCAAGAGTTCTTTGTACTCATTTTTCCAGTCAAAATCTCTCCTGCTTCCCAGGCCACGCGGCCAAAGGGACCATCCTAAAGCCGCGTGGGCCTCTTCTACCAAAGCTGCAGGAGTCAGCACTCTGACCAAAAGCATGTGGCTTTCTTCACCTGGCTGCAGAGGTCCCCATTCTGGCAAAGCGTGTGGTTCTCTTTCACCTCGCCAAGAGGGGGTCTGCACTCTGCCAAAACCGTGTGGCTCTCTCCTCCTGGCTGCAGGGGTCTACATTCTTCCAAAATGCATGGCTCTCCCTTACATGACTACAGGGGTCCTCACTTTGCCTCAAACTGCATGGCTCTCTCCCTTTCACCAGGGCAAGAGGGGGTCCTCACTCTTCCCAAAACAGCATGGCTCTCTTCCCAATGGCTGCCGTGTCTCGGTTTTAGATCCCTGCACCAGTCCTCCTTTGCAGCTCCATTTCAGAGTTCTCCTACAATCAGTTACACCTGCCAGGACTCCCATACCCTCCCAGCTTTACTGGGCTGCCATCGTGAGTCTGGTCAGGTGCAGCCCCATGTCATGGAGCCAATCTTCTTCAAGCTCTCACGCAGGCACTGTAACTCTGGGGACCAGCCTCCCAGTCACATCCTGGATAGAAACCACTCCCTTCTCCCTAGTTCAGAGCATGGCCACAGCTATTTAACATATGTATGAAACCAGTTAAGGTTATAGATATGTTAAATGACCATTCTAGATGTTAGCTGCTAAAGAGTTGCTATGCTAAACATCTCTCAATGGCCCTGCTCCATTTGTCCCTTCCCCAACTAAGGGGGGGAGGGGGATGAGGACATCTTAATATTTCCTGGGCACCCTAAGCTCTCGACCTCATTCCAAATTCTTTTTCTCCCCCCCTCCCCCCCGCTGCGCCCTGTTACACTTTCACCCCTTCCTTCCTGCTGCATCTCTCCTGCATTCTTCCAAACTGCTAAGAGAGAGCTCTGCATCACTGCTACATCTTGCTTTCTAGCTTCCTAAGCTGAGTGGCAAAGAGAGACCCCAAGCCGCATGGTGATTCTCTGCCCAAGCCATGTAGTAATTCTCTGGTAAAGGTGTGTGGTTCTCCTTCACTAAGGCTGCAGGGTTCCCACTCTGCCAAAAGCATGGGGTTCTCCCCTCAATGGCTGCCATGTCTGCATTTAAATCCTGGTGCCAGTCTTCCTTTGCAACCCCATTTCCCACTCCTTCCACAATTGGCTATACTTGCCAGCACTCCCATATCCTTCCAGCTTTCCTGGGCTGCCGTAATGAGTCTGTGCAGGTGTGGCCCCATGGCATGGAGCCAATCATCTCCAAGCTCTCACTCAGGTGCTGTAACCAGGGGGAGTTGCTTTCCAGTTACATCTTGGGTAGAAGTCACTCCCTTCTCCCTGGCTCAAAGCATGGCCACAGCTATTTAACATATCTGTGAAAACAGTTAAAGGTTATAGATATGTTAAATGACTGTTGTAGAGGTTATCTGCAAAACTGTTGCTGTTCAAAACGACTCAATGGCCCTGTTCCGAGTATCCCACTCCTCAGCTCAGACTTGTGGGGGTGAGGGCATCCCATATTTTTAGTATTTCCTGGACACCCTGAGTTCTGGACCCCATTGCAAATCCTTTCGGGGCCCACCTGGCTGCACCCTCTTACAGTTGTGATCTATAAAAGCAACAGTTTCATATGTTTCAGTCTACTAATTGTGTTTCTTATACCTTTTACCTTTCTTTTTCATTATTAAAAATTAATCTCCCAAAATGGTGTTTTAAAAACCTCTGCTACTATTGATGTCATCTCTGTTTCAAGACTCTATAAACATTATTCAGAAAAGGGTAGCTTATGACATATCCAAAGACCAAGTGGAGAATGGTGCGGGTCATCGTGGGTGAAGACTGGCCTCGGAAGTGTCTGTCTCTACCAGCAGTGTGGGGCACATCATGTTCTAGTTCCAAAAAGTGCCCTCTTGTGACATTAAAATGGCCCTCTCTCCTGGACCCTTTTCTTCTTCCCTCCATTTGTTTTGTGCATTTTTAGAAAACTTTTTATTGAGTTTAGATATCATAAGATGATTACTACAAGTCTTATATGGTAGTGTAGAAAGCAGTTTGGCAAGTATGTTATTAAAAGCAAAACAGCCCTCAACTTCCCTCTAATCCCATGAACCTCTCTGCAATGACTTTTGTCTCTTTTTTCCAATTATTTTGATAATGACTTCCATGTCTTTGAAAATACTACTGTCTTAAAATACTTTAATATTTTAATGTTTTTTGATTATTTTAGTTTTAAGAATTGTCTTACCATGGCCCACTTTCTGGTCTCTATGACACACACACACACACACACACACACACACACACACACAAAACACACACACACACACACATTACATCCCCTTTGCTCCTGGTGTACTAGATTGGACTGTATGCATGTTTTATCAACAAAAACAGTTTCATAGGTTTCAGCCACACATACACACACACACACACACACACACACACACACACACATTTTTAATCCTCGCCCAAGGATATGTATTGATTTTTAGAGAGAGAGGGAGGGGGAGAGGGAGAAAGAAAAGAAATATCAATGTGAGAGAAATATTGGTCCCAACTGGGGATTGAACCTGCAACCTGGGTAATTGCCCTGACAGGAATCGAACCTGCAACCTTTGGTGTATGGAACAATGCTCCAACCACCTGAACCACTCAGAGCAACCTGATAGTTATATTTTAATTTTGGTAGACCATTTACTCAATGCGTGTGAGTG